CAAAAGCACCTGAATATATAAAGTAAATATTAACAGATCTGAAAGGAGAAACAGACAGTAATAGTGGGGGTTTTAATACCCACCCCACTTACATCAATGGACAGATCATCAGACAGAAAATCCACAAGGAACCGTCAGCCTTAAAGGACCTCACACCACATGGACTTATATACAGGACATTCCATCCCAAAGCAACAGAACACACATTGGTTCTCAAGGGCACAGAACTCATTTTTCCAGGATAAAACATATGCTCGGCCACAGAACAAGTCTTAATCAATTCAAGAAGATTGAACTCATATGAACCAACTTTTTGAATCAAATGGTATGAAACCAAAAATTAACTACAAGAAGAAAACTGGAAATTTCACAAATATGTGAAGATTAAACAACATGCTACTGAATAACCAATGGGTCAAAGAAGAACTCAAAAGAGAAATAAAAAAGTGCCTGAGACGAGCAAAGATGGAAGCATGGCATGCCAGAATGTGCGGATGCCCAAAGCAGCTGTAAGATCACAGAGATAAACGTCGACACAGAAACAAGACTCAGACAACCCAGCGTTGCACCTCAAGGAGCTAGAAAAGGAAGAAAAAAATAAAGCCCAAAATCAGTAGAAGGAAGGAAATAATAAAGATCAGAGAAGAAATCAATGAAATACAGACTTAAAGGGCAACAGAGAAAAAAAGAGCTAAGAGCTGGTTCTTTGAAAAGATAAAAATGGACAAACCCATAGCAAGACTCAACAAGAAAAAAGATATTGGACTAAAATAAAATCAGAAATGAAAGAGGTGATGTTATAAAATATCACAGAAATACAAAGGAGTATAAGAGACTATGATGAACAATGATATGCCAACAAACTGGACAACCTGGAAGAAATTATTAAACTCCTATAAACATTAACCCATCAAGACCAAATCAGGATTAAGCAGAAATCGGAATAGCCCGGTGACTAGTAAGGAGATTGGATCAGTAATCAAAAACCTCCCAACAAACAAAAGTCCAAGGGTTCCCTTAAGAATGGGAAGAAGATGGGAATGGACATTTTCCCAGAGAAGACACGCAGATCACCATCGGGTATGAGAAGATGCTCAACATCACGGATCATCAGGGAAATGCAAGTCAGAACAAGAGCTGTTCCTCACCTGTCAGGACGGCTGCTGCCGCCAGAAACAGTAAGTGCTGGCGAGGACGGGGCAAGGGAGCCTGAGGTAGGGGTGTGAACTGGTGCAGCCACGATGGAGAACAGTACGGAGCGTCCTCAGCAACGTAAGAGGACGAGCACAGGACCCAGCAATTCCACTTTGGGGTATTTATCTGCAGGAAATGAAACCACTAACTGGAAAAGGTACCTGCACCCCCATGTTCACGGTGGCATTGCTTACACTAGCCGAGATAGGGAAGCGACCCCAGAGTCCATGGACGGAGGAAGGGTACAGAAAACGCGGCACACACACACACACTGGAATACTATCCAGCCATAAGAAGGAATGAAATCTTGCCATTTGTGACAACTTGAATGGACCTCAAGGGCATTATATTAAGTGAAAAAGATTTTTATATGATGAATCTTTAAAAAATCAAACAAACAAAAACACAACCCAAGCTCACAGATACAGAGAACAGATTGGTGGTTGCAGAGGAAGGAGTTGCGGGGTAAAATAAATGAGTGCAGGGGATATGAATTTATTTTTAAAACTTTAAAAGAGAGTAACTAATGTTAAGAGCTGGTTATTTCTGTTGAGAATTAAAAAAGACAAACAAACCCCACCTCCTGGGCTCCGAATCTGCCCCGCCTCCCCTGCCCCCCGCCATCCGTGGCCAGGACCCGGACCCACACGCGGGGGCAGTGCCGGTGAACTCAGACGCCCATTCCCACACGATAAGTGGCTGATCGGACGTGCCTGCCTCGGACAGTCACTCTAGGACAGTCTATGAACAGCCCTCTCGGCCTCTGGGAGTAGACACACGGCGGTTGTGAATGGGCTCCAGCTGTCCTGTGTTTCTGAGAAAATGGAAGGATGGTTGGTGTTCTTTTGAGCCTGGTTCATGGGGTCACAGCTGATGTGACGTCAGGGGGAGTGGGGCCCCCCATCACCAGGACAGTCAGAAAGGCCAGCCCCGCCGTTCGCTCACTTCGGCCCCTTCCACAAACCAGGTCCTCTGTGCTCGTCCATCACAGCTTAATCCCTGGGATGGAAATGAGGCCGCGATTCAATTTCCCGGGAGCTTCATTAGAAGGAGGGAAATTGAATTTACCCAGGATGGGAGGAAGCGGTTGGATGAGGAACATGACCGCTGATTGAATTTGGGTCCCTGCACGCTCCCTGTGATTCGATTCTGACCCACGGACCCAGCCCCAAGACGGCACAGGCCTGCCTTCCACGCAGACGCCGGCATCCGCGGGACCAGCCCGGTGGGGCATCTGCTCTGAGGAACATGTGGCCAGATCGCTCCTCAGGCAGAACCGGGTCCTGGGGGGTTAGGGGGGTGTCCTCACCGGCCCTGAGAGCTGTCCCTCAAGCCCTCAGCACCCTCCCAGGCAACTGCCTCTGCTGTTCCTCTGAGATGATGAGGCCTCAGGCTGGGGACGCCGGTGAGAAAGCGCCGGGCTGGGCGTCACTTCTGGAAGGAGCTTCCGTAGGGAAGGACCCACAGCCTGGGGGACCCAGTCCTCGTGGCTGAGCTTCTGGCCCCCTCAATGGCGCCCTGTTGGGTCCTGCCCGCAGGGGAAGTACTGTTTGTGACAGGCCCACAGGCCCACAGCCCGCTCCAGGCTGGGCTACTGAAGAGGGAGTCCCCCGCGTGGAAGCCCCAGCAATGAGAGTTCTAAAGAGACACAGCGCCCAGTGCCAGGGTGAGGCAGGCGCTGCCCCGGGGCACGGCTGTGAGGGCACTGCCTTCGTCTCTAAGAGCAATCTGCAATTATTCTGGCTGAACTGTGTCCCTCAAATCCTGGTGCTGAAGTCCCAGCCCTGGGCTGGCACAGTGTGGACAGAGGGCACAGGCGCCCGCCCCCTGCCCGTCCTCTGTCCTGAGAGGCAGGATGACCGCAGGGGCCCCTCGGCTTTGGGTGCTGCCACAGGTGGAAGGCATCCCATGGAAACAGCCTCTCCTTATGTGGCCCGGAGCAGCCCTGTGACCTCTGACCCCACAGGAATAAGGTGTGCCTCCCTGAGTCTCCCTGGCAGCGAGGCCGGAGAGTAAACCTGAGCCCATGAGCACTCCCTTCTCTGCGGTGAGGAAGGCCAGGCCCGCGGCCCTCTGATCACTGCTCTGGTGTTTACTGCGGAGACAGACGGCTCCTCCACCCTCTCCCCGAGGCAGGAGCACTCCCACCCGGCCTCCCCTTCTCTCCCCAATCAGATCGGAGCCTGCAAGGCTCAGTGGCCAAACACAGGCCCCGGACACAGGCCCAGACTTGGTCCTGGGACAGGCCTGGGAGAGGCTTTGGAGCCTGGCACAACCAGGCCTGGGGAGATGGCGAGGCCCAGGGGGCTGTGTCCAGTGCCCCGAGGGGGATTACAGAGGACAACACCTCCCGCTCCCGCAGGGCGAACAGGAGGCAGCGTGTCTCCAGCCATTTCTCGGCATGTTGGCAGGAACCTGCGGTGCCCAGCAGCGTGAGGGTTTGCTGGCTTCACCTCCTGTGCCCTCACACTTGACCTTGTGCTGAGCTGGCAGCAGGGGATGACAATGAGGGTCATTTCCCTGTTTCCTCGATGGCTGATGGTTTGGGCAGCTCCCATTTGCTTATCAACCATTCAGGCTCCATATGAGTATGGAACCACAGAAGACCCTGAAGAGCCAAAGCAATCTTGAGCTAAAACATACACAAAACACTTCCTTATGTCACACTACATGGCAAAGCTATAGTCCTCAAAACAGTATGGTCCTGGCATAAAAACAGACAGAGACGGTGGGACAGAATAGAGAGCCAGGAAAAGGCCACACGCCTACTGTCACCTGGCGTTGACAAGGGCCCTGGGTGGGAACACACAGCCAGAGAAGTCTCCTCACAAACTGTTGGGAAGACTGGACACGCACCTCGGCCCGCACCGTCACCAACAGTGACTGCGAACGGACGAGAGGAGCCCACAGCGAGACCCGGGCCTGCGGCACATGGACCCCGGCCCAGGGGCAGCCCGCCCTCCTGCCACCTCCCCTGCCAGGATAGATGCCCTGGAACACGGCACTCAATGATGCTTCTGGATGAAGGAATCGCGAGAGCAGCCAGCCACTCCAGAGCCCCTGGGACGAAACAACAGCCTTCAGTGAGGATGTATCCTCTGCATCCTGTGACTTTGCTGGGGAGGCAGGTGCTCTCTGGCGCCCAGCAGGTGTGGTGCGAGCCCTAGGCCACACGACTCAAGCAGGGAAGTCCCGTCTGGACGCCCTGTCACCGCTCAGAGATGTAAACGGGGCCCGATCCCAGCCTGCCAACCACGCACTCGACTCCCCTCGCAGAGGAGACCGCCGTGTTCCCAGAGGCAGCAGTGCGCACGGAGACTGAAGTGCGTGCTCTGAGCAGGCCCGTGGCTGCCAGGCCCCGCGCCACGTGCCCACGGGGACCATCCCGATTCTGGTGGAACCGCCCGCAGGCTCCACTGGACTCTGCTCTAGGCGGGCGGGCACCTTGCCCGGGGTCTGCCTGATCCGGACACCCCTGACTCTCCCAGGGGCCTGGCCCAGCCCTGCCCCATCGCAGCCCACACCCCAAGACTCCAGAGCCGTGTCCACAGCCGCCTGCTCTCACGCCCCTTCTCCCACACTCCAAACAGGCATTTTGAACCTATTTTGAATCCAAAAGTAGGAGCGAATGCTCCAAATTCAATAACCAGCTTAGCAAATTCTGATCCGAGCCTGCAGGTCTTTAAAGTTTCAAACATCAGCCCAGCCAAACTTGAAGTGTCCGTCTGCATAACCATTTCATGTTGAATCAGGGAATCAGGAGAAATGAGAGCTATTAGTCTGCAGGATTCAATTGTTAACTTTACAAAACAAGGACTTCATTTCAAAATCTCATTTAACGATCTGACTTCCATCCTGGCCCGTTTCGTTGCATTTATTAGATTTCTGAGATAGCTTGCAAGATCAGACTCAATAGACAGAATAGAAATTCCGCCAAATAAGATTTTAGCCTTTGATACTGAGAGAGTCAGTTAGGCGGACGTACAAACGAGCCTCCCACTCGCAGCTCCAGGCACCTGGCAGAGCCGAGGTGGGTCCCACCCCGCCTCGAACCCGGATGGACAAGTCTGACACGTAAACCTGGTTCCACGTGGCTTCTCACTGCGCGTGAGAGCTGGCTCAGTGGCACCTCTGGGGGCCTGGCGTTCCTCGTGTGTGAAGGAGACCCGTGTTGTAAGCACCTCAGCACAGCCCGGGCCGCAGCGGTTTCTCGATGCCTGAGGGCTGAAAGGAAACAGAACCCACATCAGCCTGCATGAGCGGTAGAAGAAAGAGCAATCAGTGCCCCTGCCATTGGGGGGAGGGCCCTGTGGGCACCCAAGCATGGAGACCGGGGGGCAGAAGACGTGGGGGCACATGCGCACTCAGGTGGGAGACCCTGTGTGCCCGCCCCAGGACAGCCTGGAGGTGCCCGTCCTCACACCCACCCCCCGCACAGCTGTGTGACCTGGGACAAGTTACTTGACCTCTCTGTGCATTACCAGAGCGAGTCAGGAGGAACAATGTGGAAACCCCACCTGGCACTGCCAACGTGCACGGGTGCTCTTTGAGGCCTGCAGCCCTGGAAAGCTGGCACCGGTGTTGGGGAGGGGGCCACCCAGGGTAGTCCCCTTGCCCGGTAGAAGGCCATTGCGTACAGCTCCTCTCTGTGGGAACTGGGGCCAGGAGAGGAGGAGGAGGCAGAGGAGAGCCCAGGAAACCCCGGGAGGGGCCGGCAGCTGGCCTTTCGCTGCCTGCGTCACTGGGGAACCCCGGGAACAATGGGGCACAGGTGGTGATGCGCGGCCGCAGGGTCCGGTCCTCACCCTCCCACAGATGCCATCTTCACCGTGAGTGGCTCAGGCAAGAAGCAACGCCCCGAAAGTAGAAACTCACATGGGGCTGTTTCCCGAGACCACAGCACACGAAGGCGCCTGTCCTGAGTCCAGCCACTGTGATGCCAGCAGCACCACCGTGGGGCCCACGCCCTGCGCACCTGCTGCAGGAGAGGCCCGGCCGGGCTGGCGGTGCTGCTTCTGTGGGAACCCGGCCTGAGGCCTCAGAGCAGCCGCCTGAAGACCGTGTTTCCCGGGAAGAGGATGCGGGTTACAGGTCGTCCTGCGGCCGCGCCCCCTCCTCATGGAGAGCAGGTGGGGTGGAGGTGCCTGCTGCAGCCACATGGTCACCTGAGAGTCTCCCAGGCCTCGACATGAGTCTCCGCGACCACAGGCTGTGACGGCCGGGACCTGCAGGGGCCTGAGCTGCGCACGTAGCCGACTGCCCATCCCCTCTCCCCGGCCCCGTGTACCTGCAGCAGAAGCGCTCACAGGAGAGGGGATCTGCCCAGAGTGTGCTGAGGGGCTGGAGCTGACAAGGTCTCCTTCCCGAGTGCGGAGGGCAGGGCCTGCCGGTGGCAGCGTCAGGCACAGCTCGGCTTTGAACTTGAGGCAGATTCCTGTTTTAATGTGATCAGCTCCTTCCTTTCTTTTTTCCTTTCTGATTATGAAATGCTTTACACTTGATCTTGGCCAAAAGGCTGAGAAGTGATACTACGATGTGTGTTAGAAATTAGACACTGAAATATGCAGGTGCAGGCCGGGAGGAAAGCAGACATGTCCCCTCATTGGGGTGAAGGCTACTCACGTGTTTCCTGAGGAGGAGCCGTGTCTGCTCCTGACTTGATCTCATGTGAGGCGTGTGGCCCTCAGCCTGTGCGGGGCTGTGTCGGTGTGAGGTGTGGACGCCTCGGCAGTAAACCCAAGGACTGGCCTGTGGCTCTGTCTTTTCACATCTGGGATTCTGTCCGGTTCTGATATCCACGTGCTGCTTTATTTCACAGAAACGCCTCTGGAAGCTTTTCTCCGCCCCTGAGCTCTAGAACTGCCTGACAGGGGGCACGCCCGCGTTCCTAAGAACCTGGTGTGTTTCATGGGGCACCCTGGGCAAGGGGGCTCTCGGGGGTTAGCTCTTGAGACCCTGTGCACATCGGATCCACGTCTGGTACACAGGAGTCTCGATACTGTTCTCTCTTCCCAAATGCTCTGAATTCATCCCGTTTCCTTAAGGTTATCTTCCCTTTCTCACTTGTATTTCATTCCTTTATTGTACTCACTTTTATTGGTTCATAGGGTCATCGCTTGGGTTAATTGATCTTTGCTGTTGATTTAATTAAATTATACACTCAGCTTTGCAAATTCCTTCTTTGTGCTCTTAGTTTGCATGTGCAGGCACGTGTGGGTGCAGGTGTGTGCATGTGTGATGCACACGTGGGTGCAGGCATGTGTGTGTGTGATGCACATCTGCGTGTGTGCATTTTTCCTGCCTGCTTGAGTTGAGTACATACATAGTTTACTCATTGGTTGTTGCTCCATAACATATGCTGGAAATGCCAGTGTGAACCGTGTGGTATGAAGATAAGTGCCTGCTCATCTGCTAATGTTTCCAGTTCAGCTTTCATGTTACAAAATAAGTGGTCTCCTCTCCTTTTTCTTTCCACTCTTTCACAGTTCTCATTATATGACCTAGTCTATAAAGCTATGTTTTGCTCAGGTTTCCACTGACATGCACATGTAAAGTTTTTCACGATGTTTCTACATGATCATTAATACGTAGCTTGGAAATGACCGGGTAGTTTTCACTCACTCGGAGGAGGCTGGTGGGGACCAGGAGGTATCGGGTGTCTTCATCCATCACCTACGGGGCTTGTTCTGCTTTTAATAGATGTGAATCCATTTCTTTCCTGGATACAATTTATTTTTAAATATATGGATCTATGTCTAATCCAGGAACTTCTCTTAAGTGGTATCTTCCAATACTTCCCTGTTCCCTGCTCCGGCCTCTGAGGGGGACACTGGCCATGTGTGTCCTGGCTGACCTCCACATGGTCACCGCCCACAGCTGGGCCTCACTCCTCTCTCCTCTCCTCGAGCTGCCGAGCCCACCCCGCCGCCCTCCATGGATCTATGGCTCTTTGTAGCTTCACCTTTCCTTCCCCGTTTCTGGCCTCAACTCCCAGCCTCTCGTTTGCCTTCGTGCATCACTTAGCGCTTTCACTGGGCTTTTCCCACGAGCTCACTTGGTGTGGAGACCACCAGGTCCCAGCCGATCTGTCCTCGGTCTGACCTTCACATCCTTCTCCGTGGCAGCTGGTGATGACCCCTCCCTGCAGTGCGTTCACCCAGGCCGGGTGATGCGTCCCTCCGACGGCCACTTCTCCCCCAGGGCCCCCGCTTTGCATGAGGGAGCCCTTCCCAGGAGAGTTTAGAAGCGTCTGAGAGCAGGCGCTTCCCCGGGGAGACACTCACAGCCACCAGGCGTGTGCCATGACAACTCTCGGCTGCAACTCTCTCTGGATCCGGGGAAGCCACCACTGGGAGGTGTCGGCACGGGGCCCAGCTCCCTTCCTGTCCGTGTGCACCTGATGTGTGGCTCCAGGTGTGAGCCACCGACAGCCCCTCCCCCGGCTGCCACATCAGCAGCTGTGGACAAAGATGGCTTTCCTTCAAGCCTGGTCCCAAGCTCTGTGGTGTGGGGTCCAGGCAGGTTCCATCCACTCTTTTGTTCTAGTACCTTTTCTTCCAGACCAGGGTCTCTGTGGGCCCTCTGTGCGCCCCGGACGTGGCGTGTCCTCTCCGCCTCGGGCCTAATTTTCACTGCTGGGCCGCCAGTGGATCCCGCTCATGTTCTGGGTCACAGCTATTTCTCGGGGCCTCCGAATGGAGCCCACTCTGTCCTCAGTCTTCTTGCGGATTCCAGCTTTAGTCAGACATTCCTGTCCTCATGTGGAGCCGGAAGTCCCATCGCACATGTCACACCGACCCTCAGTTCTGCCAGAGCACCTCTCGCACGGCTGTCACCCACGCTCCCGGGACAGGCATGCACACGGGATGCACTATCTCCCACTTCCTCTGAGACTTACACAGTGAAGAGAACGGATACACCCCTTTTCATGTGCTTACCCCTGCAGCCTGGTCATCAGAAGCCCCCAGCGAAGGGCTGCCTTCTGCCCCGGCCTCAGCCTGTGGCGCGTCCTGGGGCGGCTGCGCTGGGAGAGGGACGGGGAGGCGGGCGGACAGACTGTCGATCTTCAGCAGCAGCTCATCCAGCAGGTCTGCAAACTCATCCAGGGAGGGGTTCTGGAGGGAGGAAAAGAGACTAGTCCGGCCTCCAGGAGCCGAATCCCCCTCATTCTCTGAAGCCTTTCATGGCACTGACATTAGGTGGTATGTGCTGTGTTAAGAGCGCATGGGACCCACATCTCTGTGCCCTCACGCACTGCATCATCCACAGGCGTGCGCAGACCCTCACGTTGTACAAAGCGTGCACACCTGTCCCTCATTCAGCACATCACACAGGTGTGCATCTAGGCCAGTGGTTCTCAACCGTGGCTGCACATTAGAATCACCTGGGAATCTTCTTAAAATCCCGATTTCTGGGCCTCATCCTCCGGAAATTCTGTTTCTTTGTTACTAACGTTGTGGCCCCACCCCACAGCAAAGAAACAGAATTTCTGGAGGACGAGGCCCAGAAATCAGGATTTTAAAAAGATTCCCAGGTGATTCTAATGTGCAGCCAAGTTGAGAACCACTGATCTAAGTGCTAAGGTTCAGACACCCACATGAAGGACTGTAAAGTGGACTTGGAGGCAGTCATCTACGGAAAGTGCGACAAGCAGCGAAGCCCACACACGCCCACTGCCACCACGCGTGCGGCTGGCTCTGAGCTGCCCTGGGCGGCGCCAGAACGCCAGCCCTCGTAGCAGATGGGCCCAGTGTGCACACACCTGCTTTGTTCTGTTTGACTCGGGTCGGGAGGCCGACACTCAGTGGCTAAAAGGACAGAATAGGGGGTGTGCGATGGGGAGAATCCCAACGCCCCCCTTGCCGACCCTGCAGGGTCATTTGAGGATAGAGGAGTTAGTGGGGGAGCCTGGGCTTGTGAACAGTGATGCCTTTAGAACTGTCAGTAAAGGCCTGTGGCTTTGCAGGGATATTGGTGCAGAGTCACAGTCTCGCTTTGATAACTAAAAGCAAATTTCTGCATCGAAACCGTCGGCTTGGACGGGCTCACTGATGCAAGCCCGGAGCTTACGTGGTGCGTGGCCGGCGCAGCCTCCTCCGGCGGCCGCCTCTCCAGCCCCAGCGCAGAGCAGGCCGCCCCCCACACATAGGCCATCACGTCTGCAAGTCTCACAAGAGATTGGCTTTGAAAAGATTTTCGTTTGGGAACAAAAGCCATGAGGGAACCTCTGAGCTGGAAAAAATGAAAAAATAAAGACAAACTTCATGTTATTAAGCAAAAAATAGCTTTGTGAATTTGTTCAACTGTAAATGGAGGTCATATCTGATATTTTATTTCCTGTCCATAAGGCAGCAGTTGTGTAGCAAAAAAGTCAGGCAGCTCTCTCATGAACTGAGCCAAATTGCAGCAAGATTCCGAACTGGACCTGCGTTTCCACAGGCAAGATCCGCGTCTGCGTTTTGGCTCCCCCTAGCGGGCCGCACGGGCTGTGTGTGACCCCGCCCCACTGCGCTCCTGCCTGGAGACAGAAAGGGCCCCGCAGGAGGACACAGCTTGCCCTTGTTACACAAACGAGCCAGCGAAGGTCCCTGCAAATTGGTCCTGGGTGGTTTGTTTCCCGCTGCAGGCTGAGACCTGCTAGCTCAAAAGCTGGCGTGCACACTGGATCGTGTAAGAGCACAGACAGCAGCATTTTGGCCCTTGGGAGCTGCTTTGTGTCCCACAAAACCTCACAGACAGCTGTCACCCCTGGAAAGACAGGGCCCTACAGGTATAAGCCCCAATGCTGCTGCCCTTGGGAGCTCTCCGACCTGGAGATTTCCTGTGTGTTGCTGGGCAACTTCCCACACACAAAACCCTCCCCAAGACTGCCCTCCCCTCCCCCCATGACACAGCCCTTGGAGTGTTTCAAGGTGTGAGGGACATAGGCACATGTGTACCTGTCACCATGGTGTCCACATGCAGTTGTGGGGGTTGGGTGGGCAGCTAGGGGTCTGGGTTGGTGTAGCCAGGGAAGCTCCTAGGGTGACCCCACACTGAACGCTGTCTTCTGAGACTCATAGGATTTACACATGGTGGGTGGAGGGGCAGGGCTACAGGGAGGCGGTGAGGTGAGGCGTGTGGCCCATGTGCCATCAGGCTCCAAGGGGCACTGTGACTGGTTGGACACAGAGCAGGTTCCCGGCACTGTCTTCATAGGAACACCTGGAGCAGTTTCTGAAAATCGGGGTGCTCAGCCCCACCGCTGAGAAAGGAGACAGCAAACCTGGGGAGGAACTAGAGAGGGCCAGGCTGAGAACCCGCAGACCAGGGTGCCAGAGCAGGCAGAGGGTGGGGTGGGGCGGGGCAGGCAGGGCAGGGTGGCGATAGCAGGAGGCCTACCTACATCTTCCTTTCAGGTGAGCAGTGAGAAATGGTTAATACAGGCGAGCTGAGCCACTGCAGGGACAGAGAACTGCTAAGGAAGCGTTGTGTTTACTGAGATGGGACTATCAGCTAATTTCCTGTATTTTTACTTGTAAGCTGTCAGCCCCAAGTAGGGGCGGCAAGGAAGGTCACGGGGAACCGTTGAAGGAGTTTAAGCCAGAGGCTGTGTGTGTGCAGGCATGTGTGTGCGCACGTGTGTGTGTATGTGTGTGTGCATGTGGTGCGTGTGACATGACTAGGTTTGCATGTGGCAGGTCAGCAGGAGGGTGGGACGCAGGGAGCCCTATTCCTAACTCAGCCCCGAGCCCAGAGAACATGTTCTGCGCAGCTGGCTGATGGGAGATACTCCAGGAGATGGGAAGATCGAGGTAACAGGACAAGGGGAAGCTTGCACGACCACAGTGAGATTCTGCCTGAAATCAGGTGGGAGAGAAGGGGTGTGGCTCAGGCTGGGAGGCTCCCTGGAAGAGGCAGCATCCTGGGGTGATTGGTCATCTTGTTGAAACTGTCTAGCCGACTGGACCAGGTTCAGCCCTGCCCAACGCAGGAGAGATGGGCCTCGGGAGTCATGACCGTGACATTTGGCCGGCAGAGGATGAAACGTCTGCTAACCCTGCCCTCAGAGTCCAGGCTGGGCACATACCATTCCTATCCACAGAGTGGTCACTGCTGCCAGGAGGGCTGTGCAGTGCCTAGCCGTGGCCTGCCCCTCTGCCTTGGAGAGGCCCGGGAACATGTCTCTTTGGCTGCTTCCTGGAAAACGGTGGGAGGCGTCTGCGAAGGTGCCCGATGAAGGAGCCATGGTAAGGAGTGGAATCCCACGCAGGTGGGCGTGGGCGGCCAGCACCAGGACCCCTGCCAGCTGCAGGGGAAAAGCCGCCACATTGACCTTCTGAGCATGGAGTCATGGGAGCCCCAGAATGTGGCGGGAGCTTCTAAATGCTTTAAAATAAGGAAAAGCCTGGAGGAGCCGTTTTCGGATAGTTGATCACATCATCTGGTATAAGACCTTGGCCCCGCCCCGGGCCTCCTGTGCCAGCTCCAGGTGCTCAGCCCAGGCACCCTTCTCCCCTGGTCCTCCTCCCACCAGCACCCCTCCTCCTTGCCATCTGCACCCCCAGCTGCTGGAGGCCATGCCTGCTGCCAGGGGCACCGGTGTCACTGTTTCTGCTCCTGGTGCCCCTCGAGGGCTCAGTAAAACAAGCCACTTAGGAAAGGAGGGGGAAGAGCAGTCTCGTGCAGAGTGTAGCTCAGTGACGTCCGTTGTCTGTGGTAACAGGCCAGGAACTTGGCCCGGACATACGCTGCTCCCTCATCCACCCACACAGGCACGAAGCAAGGAAGGTAAGAAGGCCACGCACCGCTCCTGCACCGAGCAAGCACCCAGGAGGTGGTGCTGACTACACACATAATAACAATAACACACCAGGGAGAGCCGGAGCAGAGCGTGTAAATGCCCTAACGCTATCCTGAGAGGAGAATTCTCACCCCTGGTGCGAGGACGCCCGCGAGGGAGCGGCGTGTGGCGAAGATGTAGGACGCCACTGCGCTGTGAGAGCCGAGCAGACGGAGGCATTTCAGGGTCAGGAGGAACGACAGGGTTCCCTGGAGCCACCTCGCCCTCTGCGGCAGAGAACACAGCAGCCACGTGTCACCCCGTTACTGGGCGCACAGCGTCATCACCCCTGCGGGCCGGGCACAAGGGAGGCGTGCCCTGGGGTGAGGAGCACCCAGCCACGCTGTGAGAGGGTGCGCGTGTCAGGCTGCAGAGGGAAGGCACAAGGGAGGAGCAACTAGAGTTAGAGCTTTTCGGAAGGGCCAGCTCCAAGTCTGATCTTGCAGCTCCATAGCGGTCAGGCCGCTCAGGCCCGGCGCTGCGAGTCGCAGCCTCAGGACCGAGTGGGGAAGGTCACCTCCACACAGCACGTGGAGAACTCAGTGCCCGCCCCCTACCCCCCGCCCCTGTGTGGGAATGAGCGCCTGATCGACAACATTCCTCACGCACGTTTATAACATTTAATCTTCATAAAACTAGAAGTGCCCCGATTTCTACCGATGGAGCCTGGGCTCCGGGAGAGGAGATGACAGAACAAGAGCCGCCTGGCTGAGCAACAGCAGGCCCAGGCCCACCTGTGTGGCCCCAACGCCCGTCCTACCTGATTCCATGACGCCATGGGACTGAGGTCCACAAAGCCCTGCAGGAGCCCCATGTGCAACTGGTTGGTCACCTCCCCGGCCAGGGAGAGCAGGTGGCCGGAGGCTGCGTACCAGGCCAGGCCGGCCCCGGCGAGGGGCAGCTGCGGGGCAGAGAGAGACCGTCAGATGGGCTGCGGCCTGGGGGGCAGGGGATGATACTGCCTCGGCGCCTTCAGGCTTACGCCATGGGGACGGCCCTGCGCTGGCTGAGCGGATGCGCAGGCAGGCCCGGCATAGCTACGTCCGCTGCGCGTTGTGAGGGACACAGGGCCTACCTCCAGCCAGGCCCCACGTTTTTGCCAGTAGCCACGGACGCCCTTCTCAGCCAGGTGGAAGAGCTGGAGGCACAGGTGGGTCAGGGTGAGCGCCAGGAAGGCCAGCTGGAAGAGCGCGAAATAAGAGATGACAAAAGTCCTGTGAATTGTGTAGGAAGCTTGAAACCCCTGCCTACCCTCAGGAGTGGGCTCGATCCCAGCATGTTCTTGCCCGTGTGGAGCTCTGAGACACACGTGGTCTTCGCAGGCCCCCGGGCATTTGCACCTCTCCACCCACCAGCCTCAGAGACCCGCCCGCGGGCGACAGGGATGCATATGAGGTCGAGACAGGTGCCCTCATGGAAGCCCTGCCCTGTGAGAACTGCCCAGCACCCAGGGCGTCTCCTGCCCCCCCTGCCCACCCCCAATCCTTCCTCATGATGCTCAAGAGAGAGAGTGCTCATGAATTTGGAAAACATATGAAATGTATTAACAGAGTTTCCTTGGCCACGTCAAACCTTTGAAAGATCCTGCACATAAGAAATTTCTTAAAGTTCTGTTTATGATGATCTCACCTTGATGATTTCCCATCTACCATGACTTCACTCACCCCCTCACCCCCTCACCCCCTCACCCCCTCACCCCCTCACCCCCTCACCCCCTCACCCCCTCACCCCCTCACCCCCTCACCCCCTCACCCCCTCACCCCCTCACTCCCTGAGAGCAGCAGTGGCCCTGGCCTGTCTGAGGTCACGTGGCCTTGTAGGGCCCTGTGCACCTTCCAGTGAACACTTTAAAACTAAAAACGCCTCTTTGGGACCCCTACCTCCCTTTGGGGACAAGGGAGTGTGCTGCCACCACAGATCAGGGGCTGGGCCCCAGGACAAGAATGAGAACAGTAGCAGCCACGCCACAGAAGCTGGAATGTGTGTGGACAGCATTGGGTAACCCACAGCTAAGCTTCGAATACTCAGCTTTGGTTCACACAGGTGAGGGACGTCAGTGTCTGAGTTGAAGCCTGTGTGAGGCACAGGTCATGGCCGCCTGAGTGAGCCCTGGACAGGGCCTGGGCTTCAGTCCTAAGCCCCCACATGGCATCTGTACCCTGAGAGCTGGTTCCCCTGGGGGTCTTCCTGTCCTGTGCCCACACCAGCGGGCATGGCAGGGGTCTGTGGAGGGCACGTGGGGCACGTGTGTTCCACGGGTGGCCGAGAGGCCGGTGAGCTCACCTGGGGAAGAAGCAGGTGGTACCTTGGGGCTGGGTCACTGTGGAAGACGGTGACCGACTCCACGAGGGGGGAAAGGGCGAGGCCCCCGGCCGGGAGCAGCGTCGCATGCAGGGACACACGGGAGAAGAGGCGGGTGGGGGCGTTGTAGAGGACGAAGTGCACAGACATGGCCCTGGTGCGGTGATCCACCCAGCGGTGAGCCCTGAGGCCAGTCAGCACTGCGTGGGCTGTGGACCTACAGAGCGTGCAAGTCAGAGGGGGGAAGCCGTGCAGGGAGGCTTCCAGCCCAGGCCCTGCCGGCCCCTGCTGTGGCCCGGCATTCACAGGACTGCACGGGCGGCTGTCTGTGTCCTCTGACTCCTCACTGCCCACTGCCTCTCTCTCCTTGCCCGGGTGGGACCCCAGGCTGAGGAGACCCTGGAGAAGGGCAGCCCTCCCTGTCCCAGGGGCCCACTTGGGAGAGATCGCCATCTCTCGCCCCAGGCCGTGGGAGCGATGGACAGGCAAGTGTGGACGACTTGGACCCCCAATCATACTGACCTTGTCCTGCCCAGGCTGAGCTCACAGTGCTCCCTGCAGGCTGTGGGGTCACTTGGGGCCACTCTTTGGGTCTCTGCATTGATCACAGAGGGGGTTTCAGAGCCTCCAACTTTGGGGTGACACGTAGGTAGGGAGTCTTCGGGGAGCACGGAGAGCGGCCTGGGAAGCTGCAGAGCCAACCAGAACCAGAGCAGGAGTCAGAGTCGCTTCCACGTCTGCCCTCACCCTGGGGTGTCTGGCCAGGCCGTGCGGGCACATGCTGACCTCAAACATGGCCCGAGCCCCTCAGTCCCCTCCGTGGCCCCCAGCTCCCACCTGAGCCCAGGACCCGACCCCTCAGGAAAGGCTACACCTGGGGTGACCCCATTCTGAGCTGGGACGTCAGTGAGTTTCCATCACCAGCGATGCAGGGGCGTGCCATCCTCATCCCCCTCCCGTCAGGACAAGGTAGGTGACATTCCAGTTTGAGATGGAAGCACCTGGATTTGCAGGACCAGGAGGGAGGCCACTCGGGGAGGAGTTGGGCCAGAGGAGAGGGAGGTGAAGGCGGTCGCCCCGCCCCCCAGGCCAATGCCCACGATTCATCACAGCTAGAGATGGCGCCAAGGGCCTGGGTTTCCTGCCCATGGGTTGCTGAGACTTTTCACATTCCTCGTGTTTTTAGAAGTAAAAAGAAAGAGCATCTGGCCTTGTCTCTTCTTACCTCACATGAAGGGCCAGGAGAAAGTTTTATTTGCTTAAGGACTGCCGGCCCTATGAGGTAGCATGTTCCTCCGAGAGCTCCAGGCTGTGGGAAGGAGGACATGGCCGCACTGTGAGCCTGGCACCCTCCCCCAGCACAGCCACACGGGGAGCCTGCACACCCTCACCCAGCACAGCCACCTGGTGAGCCCGGCACCCTCACCCAGCACAGCCACCTGGTGAGCCCGGCACCCTCACCCAGCACAGCCACCTGGTGAGCCCGGCACCCTCACCCAGCACAGCCACCTGGTGAGCCCGGCACCCTCACCCAGCACAGCCACCTGGTGAGCCCGGCACCCTCACCCAGCACAGCCACCTGGTGAGCCCGGCACCCTCACCCAGCACAGCCACCTGGTGAGCCCGGCACCCTCACCCAGCACAGCCACCTGGTGAGCCCGGCACCCTCACCCAGCACAGCCACCTGGTGAGCCCGGCACCCTCACCCAGCACAGCCACCTGGTGAGCCCGGCACCCTCACCCAGCACAGCCACCTGGTGAGCCCGGCACCCTCACCCAGCACAGCCACCTGGTGAGCCCGGCACCCTCACCCAGCACAGCCACCTGGTGAGCCCGGCACCCTCACCCAGCACAGCCACCTGGTGAGCCCGGCACCCTCACCCAGCACAGCCACCTGGTGAGCCCGGCACCCTCACCCAGCACAGCCACCTGGTGAGCCCGGCACCCTCACCCAGCACAGCCACCTGGTGAGCCCGGCACCCTCACCCAGCACAGCCACCTGGTGAGCCCGGCACCCTCACCCAGCACAGCCACCTGGTGAGCCCGGCACCCTCACCCAGCACAGCCACCTGGTGAGCCCGGCACCCTCACCCAGCACAGCCACCTGGTGAGCCCGGCACCCTCACCCAGCACAGCCACCTGGTGAGCCCGGCACCCTCACCCAGCACAGCCACCTGGTGAGCCCGGCACCCTCACCCAGCACAGCCACCTGGTGAGCCCGGCACCCTCACCCAGCACAGCCACACGGTGAGCCTGGCACCCTCACCCAGCACATCATTCTGGACCTACGCGTGGTTGCCACAACCCCGCCCACTGCAGTGGTGGAGCAGAGGGAAGCCCACCTGAGCACTGGGCACGCTGACCGGGTACACGCCATCCAGCAGGGTGGTCAGGCTCCAGTCCCACCAGGCATCCACGCTGCTTAGGCTGCCGGAGGAGCTCCTGGCACCTCTTAACGCAAGAGCAGAAACAAAAAGTCACTCTGTAACAGAGATGGCAGGCAGTCTGGTCTGCGGGAGCTAAGCGGAAGCCATCTGCAGCATGAGGCACAGGGCCCTGGAGTGCCTGGCCCTTGAGCGGCAGCGAGAGGACAGGACAGGACAGTGGACTCGTTCCTGGTGGCTCACCCGCTCAGTCACCCTCTGAACCTGCGCCACTGGGGAGGACCGCCGCCTGCCCGGCCCTCTTCTGGGCGTTGGGGACACGGACAATCAGATCCCTGTCCTGTCAAATCCCACGTCCCAAACACATAAGCCAAACACATCAGTGACAAACATCAGGGAGAGAAAACAGCGAGAGACACCGGCGTGGGCCGTGGGCCGTGGGCCGTGGGCAGGGGAACCTTAGTCTGAGCAGCCAGGAACTTAGACGTTTCAGCAGAGAGTGAAGGCGATGGAGGTGCCCACAGGGACGTCTGAGGGGACACAGGCACAGGCCAAGATGGGCATGTGGCAGGGGTGACGGGAGGGCAAGGAGGCCACTGAACGGGGGCCGAGCCAGAGTGGGACCCGCAGATAGAGACATGGTGCTCTCTACACCACCACCCGCTGGCCATGGCTTCTCCTCCCTCGCAGCCCGCAGACCAGAGCAGCAGACCCAGCTCTGACGGCTGAGGTCAGATGAGGCACACAGCCAGGCGCACACGGCACATAGGGAGGGTCAACAAGCCTAGCGTGCTGCCTCCCAGTGAGCTACTGACCGTGAGGTAGCCGTCTGCTGCCCCTCCCCGCAGGGAGCTGACTCCAGGACACTGAGCGCTCAGACCACGAAACCCGTCAGCTCAGCCGAGACACCGCTGAGCAGAGCCTGGCCATCGTGACAAACGCGGGCCACGCACGAGGAAAGGAGACAGAGCAACATGGAGCTTGTGGCAGGTCAGTGACATGTCACCAATGTGTGGACTCAGAGGAGGGCAGGGCGGGCCACCTCCCTCCCCATCATGGCCTTTACCGCTCACAGCTTCCTGCGTTTCCAGAGCCCAGGCTCCCCCTGCTGCATTTCCAGAGCCCAGGCTCCCCCTGACCCCCTCCCCTCCCCCCTGCACGGGCTCCTGGGCCAGCTGTGTGCCACCCTGAGCGGCTGGAGGCCCCAGAGTGAGCTTCCCAGGTCCCGGAGGCCACCTAAATGATCACTTTGTTGAGCACATGGTGCCACCTGCTGGCAGGAACTGTGACTAACCAACCGTGAACACGGCTCCGGGCCCACCTGGTGAAGGTGTTCCGGATGGCGTGGCTGAGAGAGTGCTCATCCCGGGGGGAAGTCACGTGGGTTATAAGCAGGTGTAGGAGCAGCATGAGGACGGACATGCAGGTGTCCCTGTAAGACAGACATTGGGAATGGCGTGTTCACAGGCCGCTGTGCAGACCAGCCGACCGTTTCCAGTGGACGCTTTTGTGTCAGGGTGAGGCCTGTGAGGAGGCTCATGTTTTGCATATTGGCATCCAAGTTCCCCAGCGCCAGCCTCAGAATGAACTGCCTTTGTGCTTTTGTCAAAGACCCGCTGGGCACCCGTGTGGGTCTATTTCCGGGCTCTGTCCTGCTGGTCTCGGGTCCAGGGCTTTAGGCCCAGCCTTGAGGTCGGGCCAGGCAGCCTCTGACTGCCCTTTGCCAGGGTGGCTCTGGCCAGGCCAGCCCCTTGCTTCCCGCACACGTTCGGAATCAGTCTGTCGGCATCTACAAGCTCAGCTTGCAGGTTTGGGTTGAGACGGCACTGACTACACTGGAAAGATCTGACACGGGGCCAGGCCGCACGTCCGGCCATGAACGCAGCGTCTCTCCCTTGCTCCAGAGCTGAGCTCTCCTCTCAGGTCTTGTGGTTTTCAGATCCAAACTCCGCGCTTTCTTCCACCCGGGGCTGAGCGCTCTGTTTCCCGAGTGCCGTGTCAGTGGCTTCGCTGTTTCAACCTCCGGTTCCCACTGCCCGTGGCTGAGATGGGAACCCGCCTGGGCTCCCGCCGACTGGATCCTGTGACCCTTCGGGCCCCCGTGCTAGTGAATCCCAGGTGCCTTTCTCAGGACCGTTTGGGGTTTTCTGTGTAGACTATGCACGCCACCTGCCAACAGGCTTTTTATTCTTCCTTTCAATTCTATAAGCTTTCTGCTCTTTTCCTTGCCCACGGCCCGGCTGGGACTTCCGGGGAGGGGCAGTAGGAGCCGGGCTTCCACCTGAACAAGCACTCACTGTCCCAGCAGGTGTGAGGGTAGGTGGGGTCACACAGGCCCCCTATGAGTGTGGGGACATTCCCTTCTAGTCCTACTTTGCAGAGAGGTTTTCTCGTTTTGTTTTCATGGAGCATTGACTGTGTCAAATGCTTTCTGTACGTCTACCGAGAAGCTCACGTGACTTGTCTTGTTGGATCCGTTCAGACGGTGAACCAAGTCAACTCCTTCTTGTGTCTCTCACCCACAGGGAGCGCCGCGTCCGTCTCCGCTGGTCTCTGTGCCGGTCTCTCCGCCTCCCCGAGGCGTGCGGGGTGCTGTCCCTGGGAACCGTGAGCGGGCACGGAGCCTGACCACATTCGGACCCGGCTGAGTGGGGAGGGCACCCTGCAGGGGACGTGTTTGCTGCCAGGAGACACTTGACGTCTGGTCCTTCTTTTTCTTCCTTTATGTTGGTCGCTGTGACAATCGATGTTTAGGCCCATGAATTCATCAAAGGCTGCCCATGGTCAGGTGGGGCTCTGTCGCTTCCTGTAGGGCTGTGGCAGGTCCATAGGGAAAAAGGGCCAGTGAGTCTGCCACCACTTCCCAGGCCTGGAGTCCATGGAAAGACGGCCGAGCCTCCGTTGTGTTTGCTAACTGGTCCCGGGGGTGGCATCCGGTGCCCTCATGGCTGCCCCCTCCAGCGTGTGGGTGTCGGGGATTCCCACGTGCTTCACAAACGGCACCAGCAAGATGAGAGGGAGAGCAGGCGATGCCTGGAAGTCAGAGAAAGATCCGCTGCCAAGTGCACGAGGCTCCCCACAGCCGTCCAGCCCCACCCACAACCAGGTGGGGGTGTCTTCCGGAGAAAGGTGTCAGAGGCCACGCTGGGGAGGCTTACCAGGCACAGGCTTCCTAACTTTTGGGTTTTATCTAAAAAGCATCGTGTCGATGTTGCGCTGAGCTCCCCAACATCTTTAACAGGCAGAGGTTTGAGAACATTGCCCCGGCTCCATCCGCGTCCCAGGTAGAGGTGTTTATCTTATGGCTCCAGCACAGTGTGTGACCTGCCTGCTCACCACCAGCTCCTGCAGAGCCCGGTCACTCCAGCTTCTTGGCCTCCTGTAGACTGGGGCGCACGGCGGTGGCTCTGGGCCAGCGAGGCGTCCCCCTTCATTCCCCCTCCCAGATGCTGGCAGGCTGCTCTGGACAAGAGCACGGGACCTCCACCCACCTCAGCACTGCCCGGGTGCGCGTCTGTCTCCGCATCCTCTCCCGCGTGGCCCTGAGCCACGCTGTGCACGGTGGACGCGCCCTGCGCAGGCGACGAGCTCGGTGTCGCTCAGCCAAGACCTGTGAGGAGGAGAGGGCTGTGGGCCTGGGGCTGCAGAGCAAGGGGGTGAGGCCTAAGTGCCCGCCAAGCCCAGGAGGATAGGGTCACTGCCTTTGCACTTGGCCTGGGGTTTGCTGGGCAGCTGCCTGGGAGGCAGGAGACTGTTCTCACTCTGTCCCGTCACCATGACCTCGCTGGCAGGGCCCCGACACAGTCTCGGTCACATCCAGCTACAGGGCAGCTCGCTTCCAGAGCTCAAAGTGGGGAAAGCCATTTTAAAGTGTGCTCGTGCCCGGCCGGCGTGGCTCAGTGGTTGAACATAGACCTATGAACCAGGAGTCACGGTTCGATTCCCAGTCAGGGCACATGCCCAGGTTGTGGGCTCCATCTCCAGTGTGGAGCGTGCAGGAGGCAGCCGATCCATGATTCTCTCTCATCACTGATGTTTCCATCTCTCTCTCCCTCTTGCTTCCTCTCTCTGAAATCAATAAAAATATATTTAAAATAAATAAAGTGCATTCTTAGCAAGAAATGACCTTTGCTTTCCATGGTCACAGCTCCCGACCAGTCATTCCACATGAGCACACGAGGCCCACGCAGGCCATGAGCACTCCCCGTGGTGCGGGCACACCTCTCTCCTCTTTGTCATCCACGCGGCCGGGACAGTGCTGTGCACGTCGGGAGCAGCTGGTCTAGAAGGAAGCAGGAGGCAGGGAGGAGGTTTCTGTGAGCCCACTGACGTGCAAAAGGCCTCAGCTTCTCCAGAGTCACAGCCAAAGATCAGTCCTCCTCTGCTTCAGTGTCAAATAAGCTGGTTTTCTCGTGGTCTGGCTCTTTCGGGATCTGGGTGAAGGTAAGGGAGCTCTAGAACTAGAACGCCCCAGAGGTCTCTAAAGGTGCAGCCAAATTTGGATTCAGAATGGGATTCAGACACGCACGCCGAGGCCACAGCAAGCTCTAAGCTCAGTGACCCTGCAGGCCCCAGACCCATCCTCACTCTCTCAACCACGCCTGGGCCGCGGGGACGGCTGCAGCAGGGCGTATGGGACGCGTGGGTGCAGGACAGCCCCGCCAGGCCTGTGCCTAGGCCCTCGGTGGCCTCCTGTAAAGACTCAGTGAAGAAGCTCTCGTCGTCTCTCCTTTTCCAAGCGAAGCCCAGAGCCACCAGGCCCACCTGCAGGGACAGGGACAGTGCAGTCATGACGCCCTGTCTGTGCCCCACGGAGCCGGCCTGCTCCCCGGTCAGGACCCCGGGCTCAGTTCCCCTGCCTTCACTGCCGCCCGCCTGCTGCCAGCACGGCCTCCCTAAGGCTGATGTCCTCCGGAGCCCTGGGCGCCAAGGGCCGTGTGAGACCGACAGCCACCACTGTCAGCCCTGCCTCCCGCCGCTCACCAGGCTGCGACATGGCAGGGACACGTCCCCACACGCAGGCACCATCCCCTCCCGGCCCGATGGTGGACGCGACTCCCACGCCGAGGGCTGCTCACCATGAAGGGCTGGGTGACGAAGACACAGCAGGTCACGGAGATGGTCAGCAGGCACAGCCACTGCCCGCACTGTGTGGGGCTGAACCTGCCGGGAGACATGCCATCACCTCCTGTCTGTGCTCAGGGCCCGGCTGGACCATCCCCCCATGACAGGGGACTGATGAAGGTGGGGCGCTGGGCAAGGGGCAATGGGCGGGCCTGTTTTTCTGCCCAACAAAGGGGAGTGAGTCTCCTCCTGCTCAGAGGGGTCGCCAGCCACCCTGAAGCTGCTCAGTGGAGAGAAAGGAGATCCCACACAGGCGGCGATGGCGATGGAGATGGAGATGGAGATGGAGATGGAGATGGAGATGGAGATGGAGATGGAGATGGAGATGGAGATGGAGATGGAGATGGAGATGGAGATGGAGATGGAGATGGAGATGGAGATGGAGATGGAGATGATGGAGGTGGAGGTGGAGTGGGGATGGGGATGGGGATGGAGATGGAGATGGAGATGGATGCGGGGTGAGGGGGCAATAACAGTAATAACAGCTTCACATCTGCTGAGTGGAGCAGGCCCATCCCTGAGCTAACAGGGTCGCTGAGGATGGCCTCTGCTCCCCTAACCCCGAGAGGCACCATCCGCTGGGACTCTCGTGGTTTAGGACGTGGCCCTTGGAGCCATGACGAATGACCCTGGAGTTGCAGGCGATGGACCGAGCTGCCGGGGACCGGCGGAGCAGGTGTGGGGAGCACAGCATCACCCCTACGACACATGCTCTGCTTCCTCTCCAACGTGTGCGCTTCCTCCATCGTCAGATGACTGCTAAGGGCATGCTCTTCGCCCTGTCAGAGCTCAGCAGCCGGTTCCCTCCCACTTTGGGGAGGGTCCTGCGACCTCTCCTATCATGGGAGCAGCGAACTCCCGTGGGGTTTGCACAGGGACTCTTCGCCCCGGGGGATGGGGGAGCCGTGAGGACTGAGACAGCCAGAGTCACTTCTGGGCCCCACCTTACAAGTTCCCCAAACCCAGGGGTTTCCATATGGACAGTGGACTTGGCGTCCAAAGACTGAGAATGTTTCACAGCTCACCTGTATCCCAGAAACACCGTCCCCACGCCACAGGCCACAGAGACCATCCCGCAAATGGCCCACGCTGCAGAGCGCAACCACGGCCACAGCGCCCTTGGCCATGGGGTTGTGACGTGTCCTTCGAACGCACGGCTGGGGACTAAGGAAGAGAAGACAGAGGCCAGCCTGTGAGCAGCCCTCATCGTGTCCAACCACACCCAGTGTGGTCACTGATTTTGTGTCACCTGACTGGCTCACAGGGTGCCGAGCTCCCACGCCACACCCCAATTCTCCCAACGGCCAATGCAGGACGGGTAGGAAGGGGCCAGGCGTGGCACACCCACCACCCACGTCACCTTGTAAACCGGGAATGCAGTCTCTCTTCTCTCTCAGAGCCCACTGGCCAAGCTCAGCCCCACAGGCCTCCAGCTCAGGGGGTGGCTGGGCGGCCCCATCGCCGCTGGCTGCGCTCTGGGCCTGGGCTCCCCCACAGAGAACGGCTGGTGCGCTTCGCTAAAGAAGACCAGGTGAGGGTGAGGTTGTGCCCTAGGAACGTTGTGCCCTCCACAGCAACTCCCTTGTGAGCCTCTCGGGAGGGCATGGCCTGGCCAACCTCAACATGCCTCAGGCTGGGATGGATTCTGGGGGAGGCGCAGGGCAGCCCCAGGGGATGACAGGACACTGACTACTAACAGGTCCCTTGAAGCCGAGAGCGAGTGTGTACCTGCCCCTGGGTGGCCGTGTTCGGGCAAAAGGATAGGGAGCCAGCCTGGTGTGGGGACAGGGCAGTGGAGGCAAGAGCAGCCAGAACACAGGCCTGGGGATGAGTGCCAGGCTCAGGGGCGGGCTCTGAGCAAGGACTTGAGTCCAGAGAGCACAGGAGCCACACCTGACACGCTGCCATGGACAAGAGTCCACTGAAGCTACAGAGGCTGAGACCTGGATGGCGGTACCCAGCACAGTCAGTGCCTCATGTCCCCTCACTCCCTCCGCTGCCCAGCATCTCTTCCACGGACCTGCCCACCCCGCCCTCGCCCTCGCCCTGCACTGGGCCTGGGGCCTTTGTCCCCCACAGGACCCATATGTACTCATGGCTCCTCACACCCTTCCCACCCTGAGCCTGGCCGTCTGTGGCTCCCAGGGCAGGCAGGGCTGCGCTCAGTGGGGCCATAGGCCTCCTTCAGGTTGAGGACACATTCAGGACGGTGCCCCAGGGCTTGCCCAGAACAGGGACGCGCAGATGGGACCGGGCACCTGGCTGAGCCTGAAGAGCAGCGACAAGAGCTGCGCCCCCGGAGAAGCCAGGAGGGTGCACAGGAAGCCCGTCCAGAAGGACCCGAGGGGAACGCGAGCCGGGCCGACACTTGGCGGGAGCTGCAGGGACAACAGAGAAACGTCCCCCCAAGTCAGTGCGACCCAGAGTGCGGTCATTTGTCATCATGATGCAGTTCATATGAGCAGGTGCATCATGGGTAAGCACATGGGCAGTCCATGTGAGTGCGCGTGTCGTACTTCACGGAGTTCTCTCTCCCTGAACCTCGGACTCCCATGCAGGAGTGAAAAAAGAAATCACCGGAAACGCTGCTTTTCTCCCGCACAACCCTCTGGACGGAACAAACGTTTGCCCTTGGCGCCAGGCACCACAGGCAAAGCTGGCTGAATCCTCGCTAGAATCTGACAAGAAGCCATCAATCCCCAACGCGTCCCCAACATAAAAGCAGAGGGAAGATCAGACAACTGTCCGCCTTGGAGGGGGAGCCACCCTCAGGTTCCGGGCCGTGGCCAGTGTCACCGGTGGGTGGACACAGCTGTCCCCTCATGCTGCTCAGTGAGAACCCTACCACCTGCTCACATATCCCACACTCACTCTTTTCAAAGAAGAACCTGCTGACTCACAACTGTGACAGTGACCCCTGAGCCCTGGTGCCCTCTGTGGAACCCCCCCCC